TTTTTTTTTTTTTTTTTTTCTTTTTTTCCTCCAGAATTTAATATTTACTCTCAAAAAATCTATTAAAATCTGAAATCTGCACATAGTCCAATCTATGCCCAGTATGCACTCAGAGACAAGATGGTCACTGACTACTCACTGCATGTAGAGAAGGCATTCTGTGTGAGAACCAACACACCACTTTCAGCCTCAGTTCTCCACTGTCACAAGCACAGCGCCTTCACAAAGGGAAAAGAAAGCACCACTGCAGGACCATGTTACTGTCAGAGCCAAACACAGGGAAATCACTAGAGTCTTTGCTAGCACTCTGGATCACAGTATTCTGACATTAAACTAAGCCAAGATCAAAGACAAAGAACAGACCAAAGGATAAACTTATCTCGTTTTGTGGCAAGTGTTTCACTGAGAGGGTCTTGTATCCTTCTGAGAGCAGGAAAAATAGGAAGAGGAAAAATAACCCTGTCATTGGACCAACACAGGCAAAGAAAAACTTCCATAAAGCACAGGAAGTTCTACTAAATTAAATTGTCCTTAAAATCAATGAGACAAATTTATGAGAACATATTTCTGCAATATACATAAAGAAAAATCTTGGAGAAAAAAAAAAAAAAGAAAAAAACTTTCCTTCCCACTCAGCCTGAACTGGCTTCAGTAGAAGCTCCCTAACGGGGCAGAATCATCACAAGAGGACTTGAAGAAAAGTCTTTCTCCTGCTGCTTTTAAAACCTCACATCAGTATTATACGGGATGCGAGAATGAGAAAAACGGAAGATGTTATTTCATGCTGGTTCTATTTCAAGGTTTCTCCACATCTCCCATTCAGTTTGAGGCTGTCTTTCCCACCACAAACATACACATGTACATCTTTGCAACCCAAACAACTGTCCTGATTTGCATGCACCTTCTTTTTATTCTTAACCAAGTATCACCCATTCCTCCTGCATCATTGCAAGTATAAGCTTTCTCCTTGCTGCCAAAACTCAGGGGAGACCCTGAGAACAAGTTGTAGTCACTCTGTCTCAGACTTCATGCCTTTTGCTCTCTAGGTCTGACACTCTGACATCCATCTCAGCTCTCACCTGGAACATGCTCAGGACAGGCAATGCTCACGCACTTGCACCTGATGAGTTCCTTCAAGTCCTGCAGGGAAAGTTTCAGCCTGCAGTGAAAAAGGATGCTGCCTTGCAAAGCGCCCATGTATTTACATTTTCCCACCTGTTAATTAGTGCAGAAAACCTTACAAGTACAACTCTACACTGAAAAAGATACCAGGCATGACATACCATTTTGAGGCATGCTTCTATCATTTAAGAAGTATGAAGCTACACCCTGAGAATCGGTATTTGTTTCATTCCTGTTGCACCAGCAGGACTGACACACAGCTCTTTGCAGTCCAGTCTTGGCCTTACGCCTTCACATTTTCAGCAAGTTACAGCCAAAGCAAAGCAAGGAAATGAAAAAAAAAAAAAAAAAAGAAAAAAAAAAAAAAAAGGTGACATTTCAGACATCATCTACGTAATATCTTTGTGAAAGAGCTCATGAACAGGGAATGGGGAATGATCTCTTCTGCCCTTGTGGATTTTTGTACTGTTTTCTACAATACTCTAAGAGCCCAGCTGGAAAATAAGTAAAGCAACCCGGTATGCTTTATTAAACACGGTGCTGTTATTTGAAAGCCTTAGGAAAATTTAAGCCAGACAACTTTCAACATAAATCATCAATCTGTTAAGTAACTACATTCTGTCAATGCACAGTTGAAAGCACAAGTAATTCAATCAGTTGTGTAGTCATGAATTTTTTTCCTCTTATAGCACCATCATATTTTCTATTAATTCCAAAACCATGAATTTTTGATTTATTTATAGATTATTAGTCACTCGTGTTTCAACCACAGCTGCTATCCACTGTATTCGGGCACCACTGAACTGAAGAGGTATCTGGTTTCATTAGTCTTATTGAGAAGATTTAGATGCACAAAGTCCTCCACAATTTTCTCCTAGGGAATAGTTAAGAGGTAGGTCTCCTAAAAACTTCTATAAAAATGCAAAGTACACAAATGAGCCTTTCAGAAGTGTTCTAAGACACAACTTTTCTCACATTTGTTTCCTCCTGCTGTCAATTCTAAAGATGTGAAAAAATGCTGCAGGTGTAAATTTATCTTGGAACTTTCAAGTATTTGCTAATAGTTAATTCTACAGCAACCCAACAGTCTTTAAACCAGCATGATAATGCATCAATCTCTATGAAACCATTTGATAATCCTCAAATGTTTTGGCATAACCCTTATCTCAATTTATGGAAAGTGTTTAATAGGAACTGGGGTATGAGATGCCAAAAGCCAAATTAGCTAATGCTGAACGTAATGAATAGCAGAGCCTTGACTGTGCTCTGAAATAAATTCCAAGTGAAAATTGGAAAGAAGGATGCCCACAGAATTCAAATCGACAGGGTGATTAATACCAAGCCTTATGAAGGGCCTCTTAGCTGATTGCTAGCATTACACGTAGGCCACTGTTCTGACAGGTATAGTTTATTGTCAAAATGCCTCATGTTTCACATCAAGGAAAGAAAAAAAAAAAGTTTGGTATTTGTCATTAATCTACAAAATTTATACTTCTTTCTACCTCTAAGCCATACAT